TAAAAAGTGGTTTTAAAATAAGTCGTAATTAATATTTTACTGATATATGTAAACTTACCCACGTCGCTATCAACGTCTTCTACCACCGTTCTTATAGGCGAGAAAATCACATGTTTGTTCGAATTTCCTGGGCTATGGAAAATAATAATCATTAATTTCATATATTTTTCTAGTGTATTGTAGTTTTTATATAATTTACGATATTTCGCTTACCTAGTATGGTTGAGTACAACCCCGATCATACCCCAGACATCCTCCATTTCCTCCCCGAAATCACGCCTGATTATGAGGATTTCCCTCACAATTTCTTGGATCCGATCGTTACAAAGTCTTCCGCTGTTAAACAGCAACACGAGTAGCATGCTGCTGCATTCGCAAGCGAAGATATAAAATAAATTATAGTTTTCCGCGTCGTCGCTTTCCGATACGCGAGATAAATATTTCTCGCGATTGATATTCGGGTCCGCGTAAGAACCCGCGACGATACATTTGCGCACTAGAACACTTAATCGCGACATAGTATTCACGTGTTGTGTTGTCGAGGTCTGTACAACTTGTGTTTTCGAAAAATGTAATTCTTTTTTCGGGAGGGGCTGTTGAAGATAAAAACTAAAAGGATGTCTCTACCCAGTATCTCTATGCATTAGATAAAATTCTTTTCGAATGTTCTCCTCAAAAGATCTTTCTGGAATATTCGAGAATATTCTAGGCGCGCCGGAGAGGGGGAAAGGCCAGTGGGTGGCGCGGCCCACTCGCGAACCACTGCCAACAGGAAGGGGGGGAAAGGCCGCGTCGGGGATGAAACGGTCAATTATATCGATATTATGTTAAAAAAAATATGTGGAAAGATATGTCGGTAAAAACAAATCAATAAAAATTACCAATTATGTCGGTAATAGTATGTTGGTAAATATGTTGGTAAAAATATATATATACGTTGGTAAAAATATGTTGGTAAAAATACCGGTAATATGTCGGTAAAAGAAATGTCGGTAAGTCCCCTCTCCCGCGTGACGTCAGCCCCCCGCGCCCGCAGTTCCCCTCGCCCCGCACCCCCCCCTCAGAGGACCTGGGTTAGAACCCGCCTAGTATACCTACTAACAACACTATCTGCGTCCCGCGCACCGCGCACAGTATCTCGCGAGCCATCACCTAAACAAAACCTCTGACAGCTTGTATACAATCGACCGAAAACCAATGGCGTCGACATCAACCGTCTGATTTAATGTATAGCAGCAGCTGATTTTAAATATACAACTCAGTTTTTTTATTCTATTGTTTCAACATTATTCCGCCCCCTACGAACTCGAACCGACGAGCGTAATCCGGAACGCGACGCATCGCAGTTATAAGCCCATCTAGAATCTTATCCGTTCAGCTGTTATAGTCGAACGAGGAATTGTGCCTGTGTTCAACTAAAGTCGTCGCGTAAATATACACGGTCGGCCGCGAGCTCGTTGCTTGCGCTTACACTTGGCTTCGCGACACTACCGTGTCACTTGATTCGACGCGACAAGCAATCGATGCAATTACAATGACCGTAATATCGTTCAATATAAATAAAATGTAACAACGTGCGATACAAATTCAAAATGAATCGATGTCCATCTACGGTAAACAGAGTGCGATTCGTTACAACGAATAGAGCAATATTTCGCCATGAAGCTACAAGAGTGAAAAGATTCTCATTGTATGACAATGCCAAATTACGTTCTCCAGTTGAATGCGTCAACATATTATTCAATCGGCGGTGTTTATCTGCTACCATTATACGATCATCATTGTTATCGAACGAACCAGCGGTAACGCGTTGGCGCATAGCCGTCGCTTGAACAGATGCAATACAACCGAGATTTTTCCTCAAACATTTTCCAAATTCGGTCAAGCTCCATGACACAAAAGACGCGGATTGCGTTTCAACACCAACAAAATATTCATCGAATATTGATCTGTGAAGTTTGCACAAATGATTTGTCGTCGTTGTGGTCGTCGTCGTCGTTATCGTCGTAACTGCTGATTTTATTATTGAAATCATCATCATTATCGTCGTCGTAGCAAGGTGTGAACCATGTGTGCGCGCAGTGGAATAAAGTAGAGAAAATATATCAATGTTTAAAATTTTTTTCATTCATTTATAATTTTATGATTACGCAGTCGCGTGAAATTGAGAGATAAGAAAAAGTGAGGCATAAAAATGTTTTTCACAGTTTATTTACTCACTCATTTGAAATTGATATAATATTACAAGCGATAGAACCGATAGTACACATTCCCCGAGCGAGATAAAAATTTGCGCAAGAATATTATCCACTACCACTCTTTCATTTCTTCGAGTCACCGCCATTTTGCTGTGTTGTCAACCCGAATCCATTGGCTTCGCGTTGAGTAGCGTGCAAATATTGTACGTGGACGGGAATAGGATTCAAGAAGTTTTCACAAATTAATTGAACTATCGCGTCCGCTGGCTTAACGCCAAATGGTCGTTTTCCATGATTGTACAAAACGATATCTATACTCCCTCTATGTGAAATATAAGGTATAGTAAAAAGAAATCCATTATTTTTGCATGAAATTGAAGGCTTCATTTAGCATAGTTAGAATGATCTGATTTAGGTCAAATACGCACCGTTTTGTTCGATAAATTATTGCCATTTTGAAGGTAATTCCATTATGTCTCTCTCATAGAAACCCTTGTCCCTATTGGCAAAAAACTGGGACAGTCGATTTTTACAAGCTTCTCTTGAGGCGAATTTTTCACCAGCAAAATCATTCGCCATAGACAGGAACAGGTGGTAATCACTTAGTGCCAGGTCCGGACTAAGGTAGATGCATAAGAACCTCCCAACTAAGCTCCCGGAGCTTCTGGCGAGTCACTATCAATGTGTGTGGCCTGGCATTGTCCTGATGGAACACAATTCCTCTCCTATTGGCCAAAGCTGGCCGCTTCTGGGCGATTGATTCCTTCAGATGGTCCAATTGTTGACAGTACAGGTCCGAATTAAGAGTTTGGCCGTAGGGGAGCAGCTCATAATGGATGATTCCCTGCCAATCCCACCAAACACACAGCAAAGCCTTCTTGACTGTCAATCCTGGCTTGGCCACCGTTTGCGCCGGCTCACCGCGTTTCGACCACGACCGTTTTCGCTTGACGTTGTCGTAAGTGACTCACTTTTTATTACAAGTCACCATCCGCTGCAGAAATGGGTCGATTTTGTTGCGATTCAGCAGCGATTCGCAGATGGAAATTCGGTCCATGAGGTTTTTTTGCGTTAACTCGTGTGGCCCCCATACATCGAGCTTCTTTTTGTATCCAGCCTTATTCAAGTGGTTCCAAACGGTTTTTTGTGCAATGTTTAGCTCCTGGGCAATCGAAACAGTGCTTACATGACGGTCGGACTCGACGATTTCCATTATTTTATCGACATTTTCGACAATTCTAGAGCGTGATGCATCTTTGACATCAAAATTACCGGAACGGAATCGACGAAACCAAAATTGCGCGTGATTGGCTGTTATAGTATCAGGACCATAAACACTGTTTACATTTTCAGCCGCCTGGCTTGCGTTTTCGCCTTTATCGAAGAAAAACTGTAAAATATGGCGTATTTTCTCTTTCCTGGTGTCCATCTTTGACGCGCGCTCAAACAATACTGAGTCAAACAATCACAAAACTGTCTGAGAAGTTTTTTTAGTACGAAATCTTATCTTTCTAACGCCATCTAGCGTAAACCGATCGCACTTATACAACGCGAGATACACATTACTAAAGTCATCTATTGGAAAAATAATGGATTTCTTTTTACTACACCTTATATTATAATTTTTGTTATAATTGTTGATACAATTTTTTATTTGGCCTATACTCTTTTTTAGCTAAATTTTGTTTTTTTGACATACCTATAATCGGGATCAATTACACCAGCGCCGACGTCAATATGACACTTGATCGCTAATTCCGATCGTGGTGTTATACGTTCGTATGGTAAAGCCATGCTAACTTCTGTCCATATGACTTGCTTACCGTGTTCCGCAATTGTGTACGTATACGCACTAAATGTGCAAATAAAATAAAGTGTTACATCCTGGTGAAGAATGCAACGTGACGAAAAGCCTCGGCCGTAGGGTGTATATCAGTTGGACACGGGGCAATTGGACACAGTCTAATCACAAGTCGCTGTTCCAAGGGACCCTATAAATGTCTCTAATCACACGGTGCTGTGATTGGCTATGTTCAAATGCACCGTGTCCAAGTGCACCGCTCCCTCGGCCGTACACGTAGGTCGAGCAAAGTCAGCGACCAAAAGGGTCGTTTTACACGTGTGTCGACGTACAGCCAGTGGTCTTTTTCCGATCAGAGAACCGAATCTCTTTATTGCGGGACGGACCAAGAGGGGATAATCGAAGAGAAAGGGGTTGAAAAATGAAAATAAAATTTGAAATGAAAATTGAAATTTGGAATTTTAGATAACACTAATTAATTACATTTATTCCTCGTGGCTCGTTGCAATTTTATCCTCCGCAGTTCATTACAAATCGAAAGGTTACAGTAATAATAAAAAATTATGGGCTATATGTGTGAGTATACGTGTAGGTATATAGAATGTGGGTGAAAGTTTGTCTTCAGGATTTATATGGGGTGTAGGAGAAAAGGGAGAAGGTGGGTCTTAAAGAACAAAATCAAATTTTGGACTCATCAAAATTATTAATGCGGCAGGAATGACAAGAGAAGGAAAAAAAGAAAAAATGAAAAACTTGTAGAACTTACTTTCGGTAATAACCTTTACCAAAATGTGGGTTGAAGACAGTCGATGAGTCCGGTCGGTTCGTGAGCGGTGAGACTCCAAGAGACCCTCTAAGCTTGGTGCTGTTATACTGACCCGATTGGAATAAATTTACCACAAGCTCGCGAAAATATAGAAAATTTATGCGGAGGAAAGAAAGAAATATATCACTCGGACGTGGCAGGAGCCTTTGTATATATAAATACTCGAAGGTATGTGACAGTGTTCGGTGCCTAGTAAGTAAAGAAAAGAAAAGAGTGAATAAGAAGTAGAATTAGTCGAAGTCGAAGTAATTAAAGTAGAGTCGAAGTGAAGTGGTGAATAAGAAGTGGTAAGTAAGAAGACGTAAGTGATGAAAATAAGAAATGTAAGAGAGTGGTAAGCTGTGAGTAAGGAGTCAGAAATGGTAAGCGATGAGTAAGAAGACAGAAGATCAATAGAGTGAAAAGACAGAAAATCAAGAGACTGTGAAGACAGAAGATCAAGAGAGTGATAAGAGAGTGTATAGTAGATAGTAAGAGAAGTGAAGTCTACAGCGCGGGGTCGCAGTTTTATAGGGTATCAGCTGGGGATGGTTTAGTAGGAAAAATGTGAAATTTCGAGGTACTAGGTGTTGGATTCGTTAAAGAAGGTAGATATAAGGTAATGTGCAGCCAGTAATAAGCGAGGAGATAGGATTAGGAAGATTCCTTTGGCTGGGGTGGAGAAAATCGTTTGAAAGAGGTAGTTATTGGAGGATTCTAAGTTTCCACACAGCATAATCACGACCACACGTTGATAGACA